TTCAACCCTCAGAGTTGCAAAAAGAAAATAAAAAAAGAAACGAAAACTGAGATAATACATGAACAACAGCCCTTTAGGCATCTCCTAAATTCCCCTTACACTTTTTCCTTTTTGGTTTTTAAGACAGGGTTTTGTAAGACCTGCAGAGCATGGACCTTCACACTCCCACTCAGGAAAGGCGACACCCAAATCACTCACAAGAAACGGTCTTGATGCAAATAGCATGAGGAGTTTTTATTCCAAGTGCACTGGGGTCCACAGTCATACGCCACGCAGGGGTAGAGGACTGAGGAACTCGAGGGCAGAATTGAGACAGCTTTTATAGAATTTACATCAAAGCTAACAAGGCCAGTTTCAAAGCCAGCCTGTTATTTTCACTAGGCCTAAAGCAAGGTCATGGGATAGTTCAAAACTTGGAATGGTTAATAAGGTTTCCTAGGTTACAGAAATTTCATAGAGTACACAGTTTTTACAAAGCGGGATTGTTTGGCGCACCTGCAAGGTTAGGGGATTTTCTTTCTCTAGGACCAGTAGGCTCAGTATCCTTGTCCTTGAGTGGCTGGGAGAATGTACTCTCCACTCAGGGAGTTATTTATATCTACTGGCAGAGGCACTTGTTCTTTCTAGTTTTCCCTTCTTGCCATGAGTCCTGTCTCTTTTAGTTATTAATTTTCTTTGTAGACAAGATGACCCATAACAGTTCCCAGACTATTGTTGTGGATAACAATATTCTTCAGAAACTAGGTGGTTATGAATAATAATAATAATTTCCAGAAACCGGTCATTGTGATCAAGCTATTTCATGTTTCTTTTTTTCCTGAGCTTTGCATGTAGCTAGGGTGATTTTTAAATACATGCTGATGGGCTTTTTCTACATTTCTAACTTTTAGTGGTCATTGGAGAGTTAGGCTGTATTTTCATCCTTTCAGTTTCATTGTGTAGCCTGGATATCCTGCAAATCACTCTAGACCATGTTAGCCTCAAACTCAGATCTACTTGCCTCTGCCTCAGGAATTCTAGGATTAGAGACATGTGCCACCACTACCTGGCTCCTCTTAGAAAGACTTGAGAGGTGTTTGTATACATTGAAAGAGAGTTATGTGGGAACAGAGCAATGCGAGAATAAGGATGTAAATAGAAATGTAAATTATAACTTCTGGTCAAAGCAGTGTAGCAGAAGAGATGAATGGTAAAACAGACCTAGTTAAAGAAGGAAGTTTTAGCTGGGCGGTGGTGCCACACGCCTTTAGTCCCAGTACTCGGGAGGCAGAGGCAGGCAGATCTCTGTCAGTTCGAGGCCAGCCTGGTCTACAGAGCGAGTTCCAGGACAGGCTCCAGAGAAACCCTTTAAGAAAAGCAGAGGTGAGTGTATGGTGCTGAGATGCTGGAGCAAATATTTGAAAAGGGTGATGTCACGAAAGGTTATGGAACATAGCTCTGCATTTGCATCGACCTGTGTTCAAGCCAGGAGACAGGGCTGGGGTCTCCTTGTTTTACTACTGTAAGGGGAAAGGGCCAACCAAAGAAACACACACTGAACAGAGCCAAAGAAACACAATTTGGCCCTGCAACCAGAATCAAAGAAATGCACCCTGATCCTGAATCCAGTGCCAAAGAAACACACTTTGTTTCTAGAATCAGAGCCAGTGAAAGAAATACACCCTGATCCTAAAGTTAGAGCCAAAAGGCTAAAAAGGACCAGTGAAAGAAACACACTTTGGCCCTGAAACCAGAGCCAAATCTGACCCAAACTTGTGCAGAAAACCAACCAATCCCTAAGCCTGAGATCTAGCCAGTCTGAGCTCAAGGATTGAAATCTGACCAATCTCCCTAGGAAAATTCTGCCCCCTAAGAATCCCTATATAAACCCTCCGTGTGTGTGTGTGTGTGTGTGTGTGTGTGTGTGTGTGTGTATGTGTGTATGTATATGTATGTATGTATGTGTATGTATGTGTGTATATGTGTATATATGTGTATATGTATATGTATATGTAAGTAAGTATGTAAGTAAGTGTAAGTAACAACTATGCTTGGGAAACCCTCTCCTGCCAGAGCAGAGCTGACACACTGGAGAAGCCTTTCCCTGAAGCAGGGCTGTAAGCTGCTGTGCTTACTGTGACCTGTGGTATTCCTTGGCTCCCAAGTGCCAGAATACCTTTCTGTCTGAGCTGTAACACTCAGGATTCTGGCTCCAGAATCCTGTCCACCCATCTGAGCCATCAAAATGCTTACAGTTGACTCTCCAACAGAAGACATAGATGTATAACCTCTTCTGCCCGAAGGCTAGGAATGGATGTGGCTAATAGCCTAGATGACCCCTGTACTACCTGAAGGAATAGGCCATACCTGGCTCCCCCAGCAGAGGGATCCCACAAGCAGGACTAGAAATAGTTAATTGTGCTATCTACACGACAGATCACCAGATCCTCCCCAGGCCCTTAAAGTAACATGTAACCTGTCTCTAGAATACATCTCCATGGATGTAATGACATGGACTTTGAGAAGAGTTTTGATCTAATTATGCCTCCTTGTGTACAGGGGGTTGTGTTTCAGCAGGAAACCTTTCCCCAAACTGTACTGATTTAAATATGCCCACAGTAGACTGCCCAGTGTCAGACTAGAAGTTTGAACCTAGAAGACAAAAAAGTAAAGTTAAAGAAACCCCCCACTTGAAATGAAGGACAGACCAACCTGGAAAGCTAGACCCAGACCAATATCTGTTCCTTGGAATTTGCTAACTTCCCTTCACAAGGCCCTGAGATAACAAGATACTAAGAATTCACACTGCCCCTCCTTTCTTGTGAGTCAGCAGGTGGTGAATAGGGTCCTTAGGAAACAAAGAGATAGCTGAAACTCTGGTTTGCCCAGACAAGATTAATTAGCACACCCTGAGGCCCTAAGGTCTGCTGACCCTAATAGTGAGACCATCTGGCCTCAAAGGGTCACATACTCAATGGACAGAGGGTCCCACCCCCTCCCTAAGCTTGTGGGTTTTGCCTTTAAAAACACCTGTGCCCAGGGGATGGGGCTTCTCCCTAGCCTGCGTGCTAAGGGAGCCTGTTTGCACAAACATTTCCTGTTCATTAAAGCCTCTTTCGTGTTGCAGCAACTGGACTGGACATTGAGTTCTTGGGGGAACCAACCAAAACTGGGAAACTCCTCATTCTGAGGGTCTTACAAACCAACACCAGCTACTGAGTTGGGTTGAACTAGATTTCCTTCTGGCCTCAGTCAGATTGTTACTCTCTTGGCCCTGATGTTTACAGAGACCCCCACAGCTGTGATTTTTTTAAAAAAAAAATGTCCTGACAGAAATAATTTAGGAGTGCCTGAATGATGACAAGAGAGTAAAGACACTTCCTACCAAACCTGACAATGTACATTCAGTCCTTGGAACCCACATGATGGAAGGAGAGAACCAATTTGTGTAAGTTGTCCTTTGAGATCAACACTCTTGCTATGGCACATAAGCACCAACATACACACACACACATACACACTTAAATAAATAAATGTGATTTAGGATCTGGAGTGATGGATCAGCATTTAGGAGTGAGTGCTTGTTACTCTTTCAAAGGATCAGACACTGGTTTCCAGAAGCCACATCAGACAGCTCAAAGCCAACTATGCAGGGGATACAAGACCCTCTTCTGGTCTTCTCCAGCACTCAAGCACACACATGTACGTACACACACAACACACCACACACCATGCTGTGGGAAGCTGTCTTTGTGGGGCTGCAATAAGAACCAGCCGAGTGGCCCCAATTTCATACCTGAGTGGGGGTGTGTGGACAAGGGAAAGCTAGTTATAGACGATAAAGAAAAGACAGAGGACACAGAATAAAATCAGGAGGGCAGATTCAGTTAATACTGAAATGCTTATAATACCTTAACCAAAAAGGGGAACATGGTATCATGTATAAGGAACAGACATTTCTTCCTCAATTACTCTAAGGGTTCTGTAACCACACCTTAGATTCAATTTCTTGTTCCTTAGCCTTGAGGATCAGGAGTAGCCTCACCTCAGACCAGGTCTGTTGTTATTTAGACTAAGACAGCCAAACACCCTACTGTAGCCACACCTTTGACCTCTAGGTCTTAGGACTTGCTGAGGACAGTTTGGAACACTCTGTCCTTGTGCCAAGATGGAGCACCAACACCATAAACATCACACAACACACACAAATACACAACACACACACATTTAAATAAATCTTTTAAAAAATTTTTAGAACCTAGGCACAGCAGTACACACCTTTAATCCCAGCACTGAGGAAGCAGAAGCAGGTGGATCTCTGTGAGGCTAACCTGGTCTATAGAGTGAGTTCCAGGACAGCCAGAGAAACCCTGTCTCAAAATGGCTATATATATATATATATATATATATATATATATATATATATATATATATAATTTGTTTTATATGTATGAGTATTTTGCTTGAATGTGAATGTGTCCTGTGCACTACCTGCGTGCTTGGTGCTGGGCATTCAAAGCTGATAACTGATGAGCCAGCATGGTTATGTTGGCCCTGCCGTGTCCCATCACAAGAAGTTAGGAGTTTCTGGTGGTCCCCATGTAGTGTGTAGGACTTACTCCATGTCAGCTGGCCAAGTATAGGACTCAGCCCTGTCTACCCTCAAATCAGGCCAGCCTTTGTTGAGTGAATTCAGCAAAAGCCATCACTTCTAACAACACATAATACATTGCTAGGCTCCAAGCCAGTGTACCCTGAGGCCTGCTCATGAGTTTTCCTAGGGGGCTGGCTGAGGGCCAGTGCCTTGGTCCTAGAGAAAGCTGTCAGCATACAACATGAGGAGGCATCCAGCCCCCAGGTTCAGACAAGGATGGTTATGGGTCACCGGCTGATGCACCACATGAAAGAGTATCACGTAACCTATCAGGGGTCAGGCTTGAAGGTAGCCAAGCAAGACTCCCACTCTGCTGCTTCTCCCCTAGGGGACGCCACTGAGCCTGGAGCAGCTCCCGGAGGCGGCCATGGGCGTGCAGGGCTCGCTGCTACTGGTGGTGCTGCTGGTTTGCGTGGTACTGGGGAAACCTGGTAAGCTAAGATGCATCCACCTGGACTGGGGAGGATGGGGGAGGATGAGGAACGCAGAGGTCCACTGAAGCTCACCTTCTCACCCCCACCCAGGATCGCGTGAAGAAAGCCAGACATCAGGTGAGCAAGTAATCCCTGAGCAGAGCACCTACAGAGGCCGAGCACACAGAGGTCGCCTCATCTTTTCCGCTTCTTCCCTACAGGTCTCAAGAGCTCCACAAACAAGCTCCTCTCAAGTGACTGATGGGCTCTGTGGGGAGGACTGGGTGCCTGCAAACCACGTGGGAAGGGTTCCTTCCAGCGGCATCTCTGGATACTGGAGGAAGGGGGTGATGGTTACACGGTTCTCCCCAGGCCCTCTCCCACATATGTACCCTGGGGACGCTATGGGCCTGCCTCAGCAACTCAACCAGGTGTCTTACTTGTCTGTCCTAGTACCATGTGGCCGCCGGAATGACATCCGGCCACTGATAGTGGGCGGGACAGAATCTGTGAAAGGGCGCTGGCCATGGCAGGCCAGCCTGCGCTTGAAAAAGTCCCACCACTGTGCAGGGAGCCTTCTCAGCCACCGATGGGTGCTCACTGCGGCACACTGCTTTAGAAAGTGAGTCTGGGGTGGCAGGGGCTGGGTAGGGTGATCTTGAACTCTCGTCCTAATATCGTGAGCTCCAAGTTGAGCAGCAGCTGGTTACAGTCAAATAACCTTCCTCATTCCCTTGTGGGGAATGCTGTTCTGATTCTTCCAGAAGGCTTACTGAAACATTCCTGTGTAGGTATATTCGTTTGTGCTCACCACCCCCAGCCAAAACAAATCAGGAAGGTGCAAGCCTCACTCACCTCCCCTTGGAGGAGGAGACAGATGTAAGGCCCACACCAAGGCTGGTTGTTGAGAGGTGTTACAGCCCAGGTTAAGGATGATTGACTTGCCTCTACCTCCTGACATGCTGGGATTACAGGCATGCACCACCATGCTTGGGCTACACAATGCTGGGGATCGAACCCTGGGATTCACTCATGCTAAGGAAGCACTCTGTCAACTGAGTTACAACCCCGGCTCCATACTAGATGTTGATTCTGCTCTGTTCAGGCCCCACAGCAGCCTCTCCATCTTCTGAATTCTCTTTGGATTGCACGGGCAATGTCCTTAGGAAGTGATGAGATCACTGGGGGCAATCCTCTGAGTACCCAGGAACAGGGAATCCGGTTAGGACCTGTTTAGACTCTGTTCCTACAAGCAGTCCTTTGGCCCAAGAGAAAGATTTGGTAATGACTGAGGATGAGAAATAAGTAGTATCCACCCTGTGGTGTCACCTCATACAGGGGTCCTAATGACTTTCTTCTTCCTGCTAGGTACGTTGATCCAGACAAGTGGACAGTCCAGCTTGGCCAGCTTACTTCCAAGCCATCTCTCTGGAACAGGAAGGCCTATTCTGGCCGGTACAGGGTAAAGGACATCATTGTGAACTCCAAAGACACAGTGAAGTTCCATGACCTGGCCCTGCTGAAGCTGGCCTCCTCGGTCACCTATAACAAGTACATCCAGCCCATCTGTGTCCAGCCCTCCACCTTCATGTTCCAGCACTGGCCCAGCTGCTGGGTGACTGGCTGGGGAGTCCTTCAGGAGGATATGAGTGAGACTAGGGACAAAAGGGGTGGCATGTGGGTAGACTATCTTCCTTCCTTGTTTTAGCCACAACAGGCCCCAAAGCTCTTCTCGAGCCCCTAGAGCTCTGCAAGTTTCCTGGCTGCCCACACCTGCGCGTGCCTGCCTGATCTCAGTGCTCATTCTCCTTCATTGCTTTTCTCCTTATTTCCACCTCCTAGAGAAAGTGTGGCCTAGATATGCAAGAGAGGGACTTTTAGCCAGGCCTGCAGTCCCCAGCCAGCCTGGATGGGTGCTCAAGGCCTTCTGGGGACAGTCTCCTTTACACTGAGATTTCCTTTGCAAACCCCTCGTATGGAAGAGCACAGAACTAAAGGGTGTGGCTCAGTGCTCAGGCATGTAGGCACAACGCTGTGACACTGTCGCCCTTGCCACCCATCTAAGTCCTAACTAGGTGACCCTTCAGCACGTTAGCTTCCGACATCAGGCATGTTCAGGGTGGAGAGGCCATAGACTGTCATCACTAATAATTACAAAATTTTCATGACTTCAAAAGCAAAGCCTGCCTGGTCAACAGAGATAGTTCTAGAACATCCAAAGCCACACAAAGAAACCCTGCAGGGTGGGGAGGCTCAGTAGGCATGGTGGTATAATCTCAGCACTTAGAAATTGAAGGCAGGAAGGTCAAGAGTTCAAGTCTATCCTTGACTACGTATCTTGGACTACATAGCAAATTTGAAACCAGACTATATTACAGGACTACATGTCTCAAAAAAAAAAAAAAAAAAAGGAAAAACCTCCCACCCCCCTGTCATTTCTTTCAATCTCCTCATTTTCCTAGATTCTGTAGCCCCTGGCAGCCCAGACCTGCTTTCTGCCTCTGCATTTGCGGGCTCTGGATACAGTCAGAGATGGTCTCTTCTGTTAGGGTTCTTTCATGTAATTCGTGTCTTCATGTTGCCCCCCTGTGGCATATGTGGGGATTGTGCCTCTCTTTTTAAGTTCCATAAAGGAACCTCCTAAAGAACATACCCCATCTAGGGTGTTCACAATACTGTTCAGCCAGGGCTCTTCATTCCCACCCAGCTTTTACTCCTCATTAGCCCCTTCCTACAGCTCCTGATAACCACCACCCAGCTTTCTGAGCGTGCAGCTGTCGTTTTCAGATGCTGCACATAGATGGAATACAGTCTGTGGTCCTGTGAGTCTGGCTTCTTTAACATACCACCCCATCTTTAAAATCCATCCTTTTCTTCCCAGCTTGAATGCCTTTATTTCTTTCTTTAAAAAAAAAAAAAAAAAAAAAAAAAAAAAAAACTATGTCCTTTACTTTGTGTGCATGTGTGTTATGTGTGTGTGTGTGTTGTGTGTATATGTGGTGTGTGTGGTGTGGTGTGGTGTGTGTGTGTAACAGAGAAAGGGAGAGAGAGAGAGTGCAACTTACAAATTTGTTCTCTTCTTCCATGAAGTGGGTCCTGGGGGTTGAACTTGAGCCATCAGGCTTTGCCTTTGTCCAATGAGCCATCTCCTCAGCCACTGTTTCTCCTTCTTACCTAATTGCTCTGGCTGGAACTTCCAGGATAAAGTGAACTAAAAGGCATCTCCACCTCCTTATGACTCTTGAAGGGAAAGCATTTTGTTTGTCACCGTTGGGCACAATCTAGCTGTGGCCTTGTGGAAGTGGGTTTCCTTTGGATCCTAGATGCTTAGTACTTTTACCACAAAAGAGCACTGAATTTTGTATTTCTTGGTGGGGGGGTGCATTGTTATGTGTATGTGCAGGTCCATGAGTATACATGTGTACGCACACATGTGTACAGAGGCTAGAGGTCAGAATTCGGTGCCTTCCTCAATTGCTCTCCACCTCAGTTTTTTGAATACATATCTTATGCATGCATAAAGTATGCATTCATGTATGTGTGTGTGTGTGTGTGTTTTTAATTTTTTTTCAAGACAGGGTCTCTCTTTGTAGCCCTAGCTGTCCTGGAACTCACTTTGTAGACCAGGCTGGCCTAAAACTCACTGAGATCTTTCTGCCTCTGCCTCTGCCTCCCCAGTGCTGGGATTAAAGGCATGTGACACCACCACCACCAAGTACACATATGCTTTTAAATTTACTTATTTGGGGCAGGGGCACATGAATACAGCAGGACAAGTAGCAGAAATCACTTCTGTCCTGTCACCATGTGGGCCGTGGGGACAGAACTCAGGTCCCCAGGTTCAGCAGTAAATACCTTACCAGGTAAGCCATCTTGATGACTCCACATTTGGGTTGGTTTTTGTTTGTTAGTTTTTTGAGTCAAGATCTCCCACTGAACCAGAAGCTCACTGATTTTGCTAGACTGACTGCCTGTGAACCAGAGAGGTTGTCTCCACCTCCCCAGCACTAGGCTTACATTCCCTTGGTGTGTGTCGATTTTCCTGGACACAGCCCTGTTATCTGGTGAGACTCTTGTGCCTGCTCATGGATCGAAGCCTTTCCTGCTCTGATGCATGCTGAGATATTTGCAGAATGTCCATTTCTTATTTATTTGTTTATTGAGATGGGGTCTCTGCAAAGCCCTGGCTGTCCTGGAACTTGCTCTGTAGACCAAGCTGGGCTCAAACTCACAGAGATCCACCTACCTCTGCCTCCCTAGTGCTAGAACTAAAGGCCTGCACCACCAGTGCCCAGCCTGCCAGCTTTGGCTTTAATTTGCTCTTCTATTTCCTTAGATATAAAGGGAAGTTGTTGGTTTGTGGTTTCCCTGTTCATTAACATAAGCAGTAGCAGCTATCAGTTTTTTTTTCCAGAAACTGCTTTTGCTGTATCTCATAAATTTTGGTCTGTGGCATGCTAATCTTTTTCTTCCTTGTTTTGTTTTTGGTGTAGGGTCACAAGTAGCCCAAGTTGATCCTAAACTTTCTACATACTAGTTGAGAACAGCTTTGAACTTCTGATTCTGTGATCCGATCCCTTCTGAGTTCTGGGATTATAAGCATGTTAATAACACACCCTATTCTGTGTGTGTGTGTGTGGAGGGGGGTTGTTTCTAAACAACAAACTTATGGTCTTGTTGCAGTCCCCTTGAACTGAAAACTCACTTCTCTCTTAGCCATTTTAAATTTAAAACAAAAAAAAAAAAACAAAACAAACAAACAAACAAAAACCCATGTGTATGTGTGTGGAGGCCAGAAGACAATCAGGTGTCATTCTCAGGGACATCTACCTCCTTTGAGACAAGGGCTCTCACTGGCCTGGCACTCATTGAATAAGAGAGCGACTGGGCAGCAAGTCCAGGGGTCCCGCCTCCAGTGCCTTGTCTCTGATAGTTTGTTTATAACTTGTCTGTCTCTGAGTGGGTTTCTCTGAGCTTGTCCTACCTTCTTGAATCTTTCCTTCACCTTCCACCAGCTTGGGAGATATTTTAATTTTTATTTAGTGTGTGTGTGGGAGAGGAAGAGAGTTTTGTGTACATGTACATACCCTGTGGTATGGAGATCAGGATTTTGAAGCAGTATGTATTTTTCTTCTTCCTTTCTTTGCTTTTTTTTTTTTTTTTTTTTTTTTTTTTTTTGACACAGGCTTTCTCTGTGTATCCCTGGCTGTCCTGGAACTCACTCTGTACCCCAGGCTGGACTCAAACTCAGATCTGCCTCTGCCTCTGCCACTGCCTCCTAAGTGCTGGGATAAAGGCATGTGCTGCCACCACCGGGCTTATTTTTCTGTTTCTACTGTAGCATGGTGTACCACAGGCTGGCAGCCCTTGCATTTCTGGGCAGTTCCCCTGTCTCTGCCTCCCCTCTTGGAGTCAGGATGTCAAGAGTGTGGATGCACAGCTCCACATCCCCATGTTCACATTCACATGGGTTCTGAGACCGAGCACAGGGATCAGGCTTCTGTGGGAATTGAAATCAGGCTGTCAGGCTTACACTGTGGGTGCCTTTAACTATGAGCCATCCTATCAGCCCTAGGAATATTCTTTTACTTTATTTATTTTATCTTATGTGTATGTATGTGTACCTGAGTGTGTGTGTGTGTGTGTGTGTGTGTGTGTGTGTGTGTGTGTGTGTGTGACAGGGTTCAGAAGAGGCACCAGATTCCCTGGAAATAGAGTTACACACAGCTGTGAGTCTCCATGTGAATCTGAGTCCTATACAAGAGCAGTGAGTGCCCTTAACAGCTTTTCAGCCCCAACTCTGGAAATATTTTAAGACAATGTTTTGCTTTGTCACCTTGGCTGTCCTAAAAGTCACAGTCCTGCCACCTCAGTGCTGAGATCCTAGGCATGTGCCACCAAGCCTGTGAATTTGGGGATTTCTGTCTTGGATCCTATATCCCTAAACTCTCTGCATCCCTAGCCCACCCCCACCCCCTGCCTGTGCTTAGGCAAAGGAATCTCTCCACTTGATCACTCAGGAGCTGGTCCTTCTAGTGCAGAAATAGAGGGACCAGGACTCAGACAAGATTCTGCTTATCTACGTATCTTCCTATTGTTCCCTTCTGTCATACTGGAGTGTCCATGGAGTGGGCTGATCAGCAGGGGACACCACTGCCATGTAAGGTGTGCCCTCCCCACTTGTCCTGCCTCAGAGAGTAGAGGAGACATGAATATGATGCTCTGTCTCTGTCCTACCCCCAGAACCTCTGCCACCACCCTACCACCTCCGGGAAGTACAGGTCACCATTCTAAACAGCAGCAGGTGCCATGAACTGTTCAGGATGCCCTCTGTCCGCCCCTTTCTCAGCAGTGACATGTTTTGTGCTGGTGCTGAGGATGGCAGTGCAGACACCTGCAGTGTGAGTATGTCTACCCCTTCCAAGGAAGCCTCACCCAATGTCTGAGGGCTCTCCCCATGTCTGCCATCAATCTGTCCTCAGGGTTCATACATGAGAAATCACTTACAGCCTTTAATTACAGTCGAAAAACACACCTCTCATTTTCCATTTATGATATTCTCCTTCATCCCTGAGACACTCAGAGGTAGAAATCATGACCCCACTTTCCTGATGAAGAATCTGAGGCTCCACTGTCGCCAGGGGGAGAAGTAGGATCCTCACCTGGTCTTCTGCCCCATGGTGTTCCCTGTCTCTGTGGCCTCTTCCCTAGTCCCACCTCCCAGCTCTCAGGCTCACCCATGCTGCTCCTCAGGGTGACTCGGGAGGACCCTTGGTCTGCAACATGGACGGTCTCTGGTATCAGATTGGAATTGTGAGCTGGGGAGTAGGCTGTGGGCGACCCAGACTGCCTGGCCTCTACACCAACGTGAGTCAGCACTACAGCTGGATCCAGAGCGTGATGACCCTCAACAGCACAGGCAGGCCTGATCTGCCGCTGCTACTGCTGGCCCTCACTCTGCTGCAGGTTCCCTGGCTTCTGAGGCCCAGCTGAGCCTCTGAAGCTTCAGCTTTGGGGCCAAAACATCACTGCACTCCTCCCAGCCCCAGGACATTCCATATCGGGTAGGGACATCCTATTGACCAAGCTCTTGTTGCCTTCCGTCTCCTTTGCCAATAAACTCTTGAGCATATCTGAGTTGGCACCTTGCAGAACATTATAGAGACCTTGTGTCTTCCTGGACACTTCACTGTGCTCACCTTGAGCAGTCCAGCCCAGGACCCATGATAGCTGGTCTAGGCTTTGGTTGCAGACAGCAGACCTGTCAGTGACAGTAGTGTGGACGGGAGCTACAACTCCATGGTGTTGCCTACAGTGGTCTTCCAAGTTCCTCCAGAGCTCTGCTCATGTGAAGCTGAGCTTCCTGACTCTATACATAACAGATAGACCAGCTTGAACTCACCGAGATCCTCCTGCCTCTGCCTCCCATGTGCTGGGACTAAAGGCATGCACCGCCACCACCCGGCCATATATGTGGTTTTGAGTGGCTCCTGAAACTACAAAAAATTGCTAAGGAACTTCTTCTTTTTTCCTCTCTTTTGATTATTATTATTTTATCTGTTTGTTTGGTTTTGGCTTTTTGAGATAGAGTTTCTCTGTGTGACCCTGGCCATCCTAGAACTTGTTCTGTAGATCAGGCTGGCCTCAAACTCAGAGATTCACCTTTCTTTGCTTCCCAAGTACTAGGATTAAAGGTGTGTGCCACCACCACTCAGCTTATTTTTTAATATGTTTGAGTGTTTTGCCAACATTTCTATCTGTGCACCTTAATATGCGTTATTGGTGCATGAGAAATTGTTTCCCTTTCAAAAACCAAATAAAAGACTGGGAGAGATGGCTCAGCAGTTAAGAGCACTGCTCTTCCAGAGGACCTGGGTTCAATTCCCAGCACTCATACATGGGCTCATAGCTGTATGTAACCACAGACCGTAAGCACTGTTCATTTCTATTTTACAATTCTTATTTTAAATATCTCTAAACAAAAGAAATATTGGCCAAATGCAATGGCTCAAGGCCTTTTATCTTGGTGCTCCAGAGGCAGAAGCAGGCAGATTGCTATAAATTCAAGGCCAACTTGATTTACATTACATTATGAGTTAGGACGGCCAGGGATACACAGTGAGACCTGGTCTCAAAAAAAAAAAAAAAAAAAAAAAAAAAGTATGATGTCTCTATATGGTGGGCAACCTGTGCACAGATTTTGTTAATTGGTGGTATTCTTGACCTTCAACAGACCAGAGATATCACCAGGCTTTGGGGAGAGGACCTCCTTTCCATTCTGTCCTTTGTCCCTTTAACTCTTTCTGTCCTGACTCAGACCTTCTGTTACTGGAACATGAAAGATAACTTTCAAAAAGATAGCTGTGCCTCCAGGCTGTCTGAAGACTGAGTGGGGAGGATGGGCAGAACTCCTAATCATAGCCTGCACCCAAGTGCTCCCCATCACACCAGCACCACATGTCCCTACTCTCACCATGGCCCATGAGCTTAGGATCAGGACTCAGCTACATGTAGTTTATTGGGGAATGTAAACCCAGGTTGCGCAGGTGAGCATCCGTGCTGGTTTTTACCAGTATAATGAAAAGAAGTGAATGGGCTTAGCCCTCAGTCTGTGCCTCCATTGGGTTGGGTTTCAGGGTGCTCTCTTCTTTCTCCCAAGGTTCAGATAGCCAACATTCAACCTGTTTCAGACTTTTTCCCTGAAATGAGCCAAATTCTCAAGAAGAACTCATCCCATTTCTCCTTGTCCTTCAACCTTGCCCTGTCACTCCAGATTACAAGTTCCCAGCCCTGTGCTAGATGGATGCCCACCCTCTGAGTCTTGTGCTCACCTGACTTGCAAAGTTTGGCCCAGGACCCCAGAGCTGACCATATGCTCTGAGCTCCCTCCCAAACACACTGGGCCTTAGTCTTCCTAACAGCCACAGACACTGATTAGGGGCTGCCTCACCTTCAAGGGGCCTCCAAACCTGGAGCAACAGAAGATCCCAGAAGTTCGAGGAGGATAGGCCATTTGTCTTTCACTCTTTGTGCACTCTTATAAAATTCGCCACATGCCTGGCACTGCTGCAGGCTCTGTGTGGTTCACCCAGTTAATTTTTACAACAACCAAATGGTTGGTTTTAGAGATGAGAAATGAGGGAGTTGAGTAATTCCACCAAAGGCTCAGCATTGGAGGGAGGACATGCCAAGGCCAAACTCCAGAGAACTGAGCCATTGGGATCAACTGATACCACCACACCACCCTCTGTCCCTTCCTCTCCACCCCCCACCGTGTGTCTCTGTGTGTGTGTGTTTGTGTGTGTGTGTGTGTGTGTGGTGTTGGGGGGCAAATCCGGAGCCTCAAATAAGCAAAGGCTCTCTCCACCACTGAGTTGTCTACCCCCAACAAATAAGGAAGGTCTGTTTATTTGAGACAGGGTCTCATGTACCCTAGGAGACCCTCAAACTGGCTATATAGCCAAGGAGCACCTTGAATTTCTGCTCCTCCTGACTCCATCTCTGAAGTGCTGGTCTGGTAGGTGTGTGCCACCACACCCCGTTCCTGTCATCCTGGCTAAAACACAGGGTCATATGTATTCCTGGAAGAGCTCTACTATCTCAGTCACATTCTCAAACCCCAAGTGTGGATTTTAAGTTTGGCCTTTGGCTTGGACAGCAGAAGCCAAGTCTGAAGGCCAGCTTCCTCCCTATATCCAAACAGTGGATCTGGGCCACAACAGGGTCCTCTTCTCTACCTCTCTCTGTCTGCCTTCCAGCTGTCTTGTTCTGCCTTTTCCCCTTACTCCCAGTTATTCAGTGCTAGCTCTGTACCCAAGTATAGTTCTGCCCACTGGAAATTCTCTTAGAATTAATATATTCCCTATACCCCCTTCTTTATTGGCTTTTCATGATTATAACAAAATATCAGAAGCAGGTTAACTTTATAAAGAAAAGAGATTCCTCAAAAAAAAAAAAAAAATAGTTTTATAGATCCAAAGGCCTCACACTGGGATCAGCTCAGTTCTAGTGTCCCTTGCTATACCCTGGCCACCCCCAAACCAAAAAGTGCACTACTCTCCAGTGAGGTGCAAACTGCTGCTTGTGGCCAGGTAAGGTGGGGTGGCAATTTGGAACTGGTTATTCTCCACTCCAGGTGCATACAGACCTGAGACCCAGAAGGGACTGGCCAGGTTGGGTTTGGTGCACAGCCAGCTGCAGGCCTGAGATCTAGGGTGTGGGTCTGGTGGCAGCTCTGAGCTGCCATGTGGGGCCCCTGGCCTGGTTCAGCTGGGATTACTGAGCAGAACAATAGAACTCAGAAACCCCAGCGAGCAGGTTCCCAAGGCTGTGGGGTCAGGTTTAGAGATGAGCTGCCAAGGGTCCTCTGGAGCTTCCTGGCCTAACCGCAGCTCCCCACCCCACCCCACCCCACTTCTCAGCACCTGGTGTCCTTTTCCTGCACCTCTAAGTTCTTCTCAAAGCATCTTTGTTTGAGGCTGTTCGTGTGCAGCCATAGCTCCGCCTTGGCCTTGTTAATTACCTGGGCCTCCACCTCCTGTCTTTTAAGCCCCCAAACCCTCTCCTGATCCCAGTCACCAGAGAGGACACCAGGCTTCAAGGGTGAGAGCTGGGTCCAAGGGCTTCTAGGAAATGAAAGATGGGGTCCAGAGGGTGAGGCTCCAGGGTTCCTACTGAGGCCTACGGTGCCTGATCTTAGAGGTTGGTGTGCTTGATCAGAGTTGGTCACTCAGAGCCTAGCCACCTAGAGGTGTAGAGTCTGTGTGACAGGGACAGATCCAGGGCCAAGCTGAAACTAATGACAGACAGAACTGCCACAGAGGTACTGGGTGGAGGTGGATGTGTCCCCTAGCCTAGAATGTTCCCTTCTGCTCCCTGCCCCCTCCAGATCAGAGACCAAGCCCTGAGTAACATTACCTGTACCCAGGCCAGCCCTGAAGATTAGAATGAGGGGTGCTTCCCACCTCCAGATCCTGTTCCTGTTGGTGCTGGGTGAGTGGGGGGAGGGTTAGGGGTGTTGCTGCAGAGACTTCAGCTGCAAGTTGCCCACCTCACCTCTCCTCATGCCTGGTGTCTCCAGAGCACCATAGGGAATTCTGAGCTTTATTCCAAGACATGGAGTCTTTCTGGCACTGACCTTGGGTTCTCCAAATCTGAATATGCTGTATGTATGTAGTGCCTAGTTCCCACCTCCAGCCTCCCAGTGCTTTGGGGAGGGTGATGGAGGCTACCAATGGCACAGAAGCTTGGCATGAGGTCAGTGTAACAAATATGTTCCACCTCCTACCTAATCTCTGACCCAGGCTCTATTACCTGGCACCAAATCCCTAATCTAGTCCCTTGCCTGCTTCCTCCTGCAGGAGCCACAATGCAGAAGTGTGCAGGTAAGGAAGCCTGGGAACCCTTTCTCCCCAGCTTGGTCCTGTCACACTTCCTACACCTACTTCCCAGGCCCCAAGTCCTAGCCAACCCTCACTGCTCAGTTGTCCTGTCACAGCTTGTGGTCAACCACGCATGTCCAGCCGAATCGTGGGGGGCCGGGATGCTGCAGATGGAGAATGGCCATGGCAGACAAGCATTCAGCACCGTGGAGCCCATGTGTGTGGAGGGTCACTCATTGCACCCCAGTGGGTGCTGACAGCAGCTCACTGCTTCCCCAGGTCAGCTCTCACTATTCCAGCTCCAGAAAAAACAAGGCCTGAGGGAAGAGGAGTGGGCAGTGCTGGCTCCTGACAGGCCCCATGGTCCAGATGTTGTCAACAACCCCCATGTCTATTCCGCAGACGGGTAGTGCCATCAGAGTACAGTGTGCTCCTGGGAGCACTGAGTCTGGGTGTCACATCATCCCATGAGCTCTTTGTTCCTGTGCTGCGGTTGCTGCTGCCGCCTGACTACTCTGAGGATGAGGCCCGAGGTGACCTGGCACTGCTGCAGCTTCGTCACCCGGTGTCCCTGAATGCCCGAATCCAGCCTGTCTGCCTGCCTGCACCAGG